GGGAGGAGGGAGGGAGGAGGGAGGAGGGAGGTGCTGCATCAAGCCGGCGTACAGCAGCAGCAATAGCAGGCTGGGCTTAGGATCTATTGTTCCCTGTTTTATTACTGCCGAGCTCCTTCTCGTTAAGAAGCCGGGGAGCGACGCAGGGAGGAAGAGGACAGTCTGAGGAGACCTCAGCCTTGTTCGCTCGGATTACTTCTTGGACGCACTGGTGCGGACAAAGCAGAGGCAGAAAGCACACTTGGGTCCAGCTCTGTACCTCGTGGCCGGGCTTGTATTTCCTCTTCACTGCATTGGGATCTACAGTGTTTAGCGTGCGGTGGCCATGGGGCTGGCCAGCAGAGCTGTGGGGACGCTGGGGGTCTTGAAAGGGGCCCCGGTCTCCTCTCTTTGGAGGATAGCGCTGCTCTTTTTCTCCATCTGGGAACTGGATGCACAAACCGCAGTGGAAACTAAACCCCTGTACATCTGGCAAACAGGTATGGTCCATCCTCTTGGTCCTGGGATGCTGAGTTGCTGGATGTCCCATCCAATACTACGCCTGCACTCTGGATGAAATATTAATATGTTCATGTTTATGTTCCGAACAGGGAGACGGAAAGCTGGTTAACTTGCTCAAACTGTCCTTTTTGTTTGAACAGTGATTTGCATGTATTGTATCAGTCACTTTTCATGATTCCATCAAGTCATCTTGCAAATGAAGGGAACCTTTATTAAAAGCAAAACTTTCTTTCTTGGCCCTTTTTCCAGCATGTGGCAGAGGCTGATGCACTGGAGCCATCTTGCTACAGGATAGTGTGTTAACATGTTTACTGCAGTCCCTGAAGTGGACGTCTCTGTGGCCCCAGCTGGGGGCTGGAGGTGTGGGCAGCGCTGCCCGTCTTCCCCCGGTCGTCTGAGCTGAGGCAGCTGGGACTCCTCGGCTGTGCTATTGGACTCATTTATCCTGCTTTGACATGTGTGCAATTGATGAGAAATGGTGTGTGCACTACAGTTGCATGTGGCTCGTTTCTGATTGGGGGAAACAGAAGCATGCTGCAAAGGAGCCCGCACAAACACTCGTCGTGTTTTAGTGCTGATGCAGGTGTTTGCGAACAAGCAGCCTCGAGGCGAATATGTGATGTTAAAGCAGGGTGCTGTGAGAACAAGAGGTCTACAGTGGAGGCAGCTGTGCAGTACAATACCAGGCTCCCTGCTGCTGCTGTTTTGGGTGGTGCCTTTCACCAGCCGAGGCTCATTCACTGTGAGAGAGCAGCACATGGTCAGAAGGACACAATACTGATGCATGGTCCAGCGAGCAGAGTGAAGGAGAGGGAGAAAGAGGAGGAGTGATGGCAGCAGGAGAAGGGGGATGGAGCTCCTTCGACCCATTGGGACAGAAGTGCCCTTTGGGTGCAGCTGGAGATCAATGTTCTCTTTCTCTCCTGTCTAATCTCTGTGTTTGGTTGGATCAATGTACTGGTTTCACTGGGATGCTGTAACCCCCCCACCAGCAGGGGCTGATCAATGGGCACAGCCTTGGCAGTGCGGCTCTGCCTGTATGGGATCAATGCTGGCTTTGGGTGGAGTCTTAAATCTAATCTATACTGCAATCATTTGTTAGTTATGTTGAGAATGTGCACATTGGAATCGTCCTCGTGGAGTCCAAGGAACCGAGAATGAGCAGCTCTGTTTATCCTGGTGTCTGTTTGGACCTGAGCTAAGTTGTAATCACCAGAAAGAAGATTTATTTATTCCTCTGTGGTGATAATGCTGGTCATATCTTTTCTGTGCTATCAGTGCTGTGCTGTGTGATGTCTGTGTGGAGGAACACCATTAGCATGCTGCAGCACCTTCACACTTGTGTACAGGTCCAAGCTGGGCTGATGATTCTCCCTGTGCTCCATCTGGGAGGTCAGAGCTCCGAGCGCTACCCTCTGAACCTGAGGGTCAGCACGCTGCCTGCTGCTGTGACTGTCCTTTTCCTTTCCATCACTACATCGTTCTTCATAAGGAAACACAGATAAGACGAGCCAGTGCTGAGAGCTGCCAGTCGCTCTGCAGGTGCTGAAACAATATGGAAAGAACATCATGAGGGAGTCATGAAGCATGTTAGCTGAGTTACCAGAGCTCTGAGGGTCCATGTCTGTTCACAGCAGCAGCACAGTGTACGTACTATGTGACTCCAGAGAGGCTTTCACATATGATCGCTATGTCACTGCATAGCCAATCAGGGCTTCAGCCTCCAGCGCTGTTTTCACCAAGACGATGTCCAAATGCTGTTTTCTTTTTGAAAAAGAATTACTGTAGAAAAAAAATAAGAATTCTATTTGTTTGAAGCTGATTTGAAAATATAATGAATATA